CTAACCATAGGTTAGGATGTGAGTGGTTTTGAAAGGTTATAGGTTGTTTACCAGTGATGCTTTGAGGTTGAAAGGAGGTGTGGCTGTCACGGTAAAGGAGACCAGTCCTTTGCTGTGGGTTTTTCTGATCATAATGCTGTTATAGCAGATTTGAGGGTAGATGGTATAGTGAGAGTTTATGCGGGATACTGGAAATTGAATGCGAGGCTACTTAGGGACGAGGGTGACGCTACAGGATTTGAAGATTGGTGGAAATCCTTTTAGGAGACTAGGAATAGGGAGATGGATTTGCTGGATTGGTGGGACATGAGGGCTCAAGTTGGAATCACAGAGTTTTTTAAAGTACGGGGTAAGGAGATGGTGAGGTGGAGCTATGGTCTACAAAATTATCTTGAAGGTCATTAAATGACTGTTATGCAGAGGAACGGGTGGGGTGGATGAGGATATGGAAACATTTGCGAAATAGGTTGGCGGAAATCCATAATGAAAAGTTTGAAGCAATTAGAGTTAGGGCGGGGTTGGAGGATGTTTTAAGGGGGGATAGGCCATCGAGATTTGTACTCAGGAAGTTTAAGGAAAGGCAGGTGAAAACCACCTTGGCGTATATAGTGGCTGGTAGAGGGGGGGGGGAGGGTGGATTTGAGGAGGGTCAAGGCCTATCCACCATGGAAAATATAGTTCGCATGCAGATTTTGGTTTAGGGAGAAATGGAGGGGGGTTAGTGGGGAAGTGGGTGAGGGACGTTTTGGGGATGAGGGGTTCAATAGGGTATTAAGTGAGCAGGACGGTGACAGACTCGAGAGTAGTATTATTGTAGCGGAGGTAGAGGAGGCAGTTTTTGGGCTGTGTCAGGGTAAAACCCCTGGGATAGACGGCATACTGAATGATTTTTATTGGTGTCATTGGGAGTGTACGGCATTGTCTGGTGGGGGTTTTGAATTGTATGTTAAGTAGTGGGAGGATGGGAAAATCGCAAAGAATGGGTGTCAAGGTTTTAGTGCCCAAAAAGAAGGAATGCCAAGTTTTGAATGATTACCGTGCAATTACATTAATGTGCTCGGATTACAAGATTTTTGCTAAGGTTTTGGGCAACAGAATGTGGAAAGTGTTGGGTTTAGTGTTACATAGGGGACAGTTTTTTTTTTTTATATTTTATTTAAAAAGCACAATACATATTCATATGTATACTATGCATACGTTACATAAACTAAGACATGTTATCCATTAAATATGAAACAACAATTCCACATTCCCTATCCCAGCTCTTAATAGTCACACTTCAATTTA